CTTCCCCAGGGAGGTACGTGGGGCTGGGGCTGTGCTGGGGCTGCACAGCGGGCTGGGAGCGCCCCTGGAGCTCCCACCGTGGAGCTGCTCCATCCCTGGGGATGCTGAGGGCTTGGGGAGGAACTGGGGACAGTCTGGGTCTTCACAGGGTGGGCTCCTGCCTCCCCCATCCCTGCTGGGGCGATGCCCGGGGGTCTCAGGGCTCTGATCTCTCCACAGCCCTGTCCCCCTCCGTGGTGGGATGGGCCACAGCCAGGTCCCCCTCCTGGTCCTGAGGACACCTGGGATGAGCCCCCCTGGGATGAGCCACCCTGGGATGAGCCACCCTGGGATGAGCCACCCTGGGAGCACCAGCACAGGAGACACCGGCACAGGAGGCACCCGGTAAGGGACAGGGCTGGGGGGAGATGTCCCAGGGATGTGTCCCAGGCACGGTGGGAGTGTAGGGGTTTGTCAGGGAGACCCTGACAGGCACAGAAAGAGCCTCTGGCTCCCTCAACTCCTTCCCCAGAACGAGTCTGGACATGTCTGGATCCAGTCGTGGACCCCTCCCAGGCACAGAAAGGAACCCCTGGCTTTCTGAATTCCCAAAAGGAGCCTGGAAACATCTGGATCCAGCTGTGGAGCTGCCTGGCCAGCAGTTTGTGTCTAAAGGGCTCCACAGCTTCATCCCCCAGGGCTGAGAATGGCCAAACAAATACATTTACATAGGTTAAATGCATTATATATATCTATGATTTATTATTATATATCAGTGGATGGTGAGGATTGGACTAAAGGATCCCAACCAGTTATCTACAGTGCACTGTGGATGGTTATAACCAGGGCACTGTTTATTAAATCAGTAGTTTCAAAGCTAATTAGCAATTATGAAGTTTAGATTGATGTTGCTCACCCAGACCCACACAAATCTCTTTGGCTCAGCCTCCAGGAGGGAAGGGCTCCAGAAAGGAATCCACACTCACTCCTGGGAGGGCCAAGCTGGGAATTCTGCTGTTCTAAAGTGGGGTTGAGCTTTTACAGGATGGGGTGATGGGGGTTTTATCTGTTCTTCAGTTAGGATTGCTGCCCTCTGGCTCCTCCCAGGAAATGTTTCCTGGCAGTGCCAGTTGCTCTTGGGGTTTCATATCCTCTTGGGGTTTCATTTCGGGGTGTTTGAGTCAGGCTGCTCTCAGTGTTCCCCACCACTGGCAGCCTGCTAATTTTCTCAGGTGAAATCTGAGCTAATTTTCTCAGTTAGGTGAAATCTGAACTGTTTCACCCTAATTGCATCCCTGCAGCAGGGAGGGATTCACGGACACATCCAAAGCAGGGCAGAAAGAGCCGAGGGTCACAGTGGGGAGGGGGAGCAGCAAGGGAAGCAGAAGATCCCAGTCCTCAGCAGTGACCATTCCTATTTCAGCCCAGGGGCTCCAGACCCTTCCCTGGCTCCGGTGACGCCCCGTGGAAGGAGGAGGAGAGATGGGGACCCCACTACTGCCCCCCGCCACCCCCCTGGGGTGACAGAGAAGAATTCCAAGGGCCTGAGGACGGCTTTGGAGACAGCTGGCACCTGGTGAGGGGGACACGGGCTGGGGGTGGCAGCCACATGTCCCCCTCATGTCACCTCGCTGCCCAGGTGACAAGGACAGTGTGGGGACCCTCTGCAGTCACAGCATCCCCTGCCCCGTTCCCTGCAGGATGTGCTCCCTGATTCCTGGCCTGGATTTCCTGAGGAGGAGCAGCCCCCACCCTGGCCCCCCACCGGCCCTCCACGGTGGGTGCCATGCTCGGGGGGCCCGGGTGGCTCTGGGGTGACAATGAGGGACACCAGCACCGCTGGAAGCTGCTCCTGCCTAGGCTGGGATTGCACAGAGACCCCTCCCAACCTAAACCCCCACCCTGGGGCTGTGCTCCTGCAGGAACCCAGGAGCTTTCCAGGAACACCGCCCGCCCTGGAGCCACCACCCGGCTGGGAGACGCCGCCTCCGCAGGAGCCACCACCGGCAGCTGACCGTGGTCCCCCGGGCATGGTGTCCCCCAGCCCCCCGAGGTCTGTGCTGACCCCGAGCCGGATCCTCGGTGCTCTCCAGCCTCTCCCGGGGCAGGGTGAGGAGTCTCTCCCGCTGTTTCCCACCCTGCAGGGCACAAGCAACACTCCAAGCGCTCTCCTGCCATCTCCAACTCGAGCCAGCCAGCGGCCAGGAAGGAGCCACAGCCCCCGGATCCTGCCCAGCCCCTGGATCCTGCCCAGCCCCAGGGTCCTGCCCAGCCCCAGGGTCCTGCCCAGCCCCAGGATCCTGCCCAGCCCCCGGATCCTGCCCAGACCCCTGCTCCCCTCCAAGGTGCTGCGGAGACGCCGGAACAGCCGCAGGTTGTGGGGTTTGACCTGTCCCCTCTATCCCACACCGGGAGTGTGCTCACCCTGAGCCTTGCACGTGTCCTGGTTTCCTGCAGGATGTGCCAGTGGGGACTGGGAATGTCCTGGAGCCCCCCAGTCCTGCTGGGAGCCCTCTGGAGAGCCCGGCTGCCGATGCCGGTGCTGCGGAGCCGCCGGTAGGAGATTCCCCCACTGCCAGGGGTGCTCCCACCTCGGGAGCTGCCTGGGTCGCGGGTCTCATTGGCTGCTGGAACATCTCTCTCCTCTCTCCTCCAGCTCTCCCCCTCTCCACCTCGCTGTCTCTTTGCCAGGCATGGAATTTTTCCAGGCTCTTCTTTCTCTGGGATTCGCTTTGGGTTTTAGCGCCCTGTCCCGGGATAGACGCGTGTCCTCACGCCTCTGCCTCTCCCCAGGTTGAGCTGGAAGCTGGGCAGACCCCTGTGGGCAGCCAGGACCATGATCCCTGTGCTTTGGGGACAGATCCAACCCCTCCAGAGGAGACCTCCAGCTATCCCCAGATCCAGGAGCACCTTGAGGTATGGGACCGCTGGGAAGTGGCGCTGGACCAGCTCCAGGCTCCCCAAATCCTCCCCACCAGCAGCAGCTTCCCCTAGGGACGTGCTTTATTCCCACCCTAAAGCAGAGTCTGGAGGAGGCACAGCCCCCTTCCCCAGCCCTCTGTCCCCCTGTAACATTTGTACAGGTAGAGCCGTGCAGTCCCGGTGTCCCCAAGGCTGGCACCGCTCATGGGTCACATCCCCAGAGCCCAGCAGCCCCTCCACACCCTGCCAGGAGGGAACTCCTGGAATCCAGCTCCTCTGGAGAGGCAGGGGCTGAGCTCAGCCCACATTCCTGGGAGCAGCCGCCGCGTGGAGCTGGAGAAGCCGAGGCAGAAGCTGCCCAGGATGGGGTGAGTTTGGGACGTGGGGCAGCTCCGTGGTGTGTCCCCACCCCACGTTAGAGCCCCGTGAGGCCACTGCTGTCAGTGGGGCTGTGCTGGCAGCGCTGTCCCCCTGTCCCTGCACAGCCACTCTCTGTCCCTCAGCCTCTGCAGAGCCTTCAGCTGCCCAAAAACCCTCAGGTCCCTCCAGCATCTGCAGCAGAACCCGAGGCCCAGCCCAGCCAGGCTTCTCCTGGTGCCTGCACCACACCAGAGACCTCTGCAGGGCCCCAGCACCCGCCTGGGTCCGGTGAGACAAACCCGGTACGGGCTCCGGGTGCCCGCCAGGCACCCCCAGGTGCCCCCACCGGGCCGGTGCCCTGGGCTTGGGGACACTGCCACACGCAGAGGGGGATCCCTGTGGCCTGCAGGATCCCGGGCTGGGGTTAAAGGGCAGCTTTGTTTGGAGGCAGAGCCCGTATCGGCCCCGCTGCCGGCTGTGCCGGAGATGCCGATAAACGGGAGACGGCTGGGAAAAAAGCCAGGGAGGTAACCAGAGGCTTGGAGTGCTGGAGTGTGAACAGCCCCAGGACTGGAGCTCTGAGGAAGCCCAGGAGAGCTCTCCAGAGCAGCTTAATTACTGCCTAATGAGGGGGAGAAATTGGGCCAGAGGGGGAGCAGGGGCGGCTCTGGCACCCGAGGGCAAACCAGGGGCTCCTTCCACAGGGTGACCAGTCCCGGGCTAGTGACCAGCACTGACAGCCCCAGTTTGGCTCAATCCCTTTCCTCTCTGACCCTTCCTTGCCTTTTCCACCTCCCAGGCTGTGTCTGGCCAGCAGCAGCACTGCTCCACGCTCCCCACACCATTCCCGGCCGGCGTCGACTTACGCTCTGCCACCGTCCTCGCCAAGAAGGCAGAGATCGAGCAGGTGAGCCCTGGCAGCCCCTGGATGAGCACCTGGAGGCCTGGGAGAGGCTGCAGGATGGGGGATCTCACCTGAGGATCTTCAGGAGCGATGCTGGGTGGTGGGGGGTGTGAATTTGTGTATTTTTGGGGGGCACTGGTGCTTGCAGGGGGAGGTGCTGTGGGCAGTAAGGAGCTTGCAGGGGCTCCGATGATGTTTAGGTTTTAGGACTAAAAGTAGGGGTTTGTTTGGTGCTGGTTGTGGGGTGCTGACCCCGTGGCCCTCCCCTGCAGTCGTACCAGCAGTTCAGCCTGACCATCGCCGTGGTGGCCATGATGCTGTTGCAGAAGGAGCCCTCGATGGAGGCGGCGCTGGGGCTGGCGCTCAGGGCCAACCTCCGCCAGTGCCGCCTCTACCACCTGCAGCAGCTGGAGGAGTTCATCGACACCATCGACTCGGCCACCGCCAGCCTCTGATGGCAGCCACCCCCTCCTGCCAGCTGGGTGAGGGTGATGGGGGCTGTGACAGGGCTGTGACAGCGCTTTGGGGTGCTCAGGAGGGTGCTGAGCCTGCGGGGCAAGCTGGGAGATGTTGGCAGCCCCACTCGACCTCTTGGAAGAGGGAGGGCAAGCAGGATATGTTTGGTTTTAGCCCTGCCCAGACTTCTGAGGGCAGCAAAAGTTTTACTGGGGGGTGATGGGAGGGAGAGCAGCAGTGCCTCTCCTCCATTCCTGCTTGCCAGGGATGTGTCCCCAAACCCCAGTGAGTGTTTTTGGGTTTAAATCTAAAATTAAACCGTGTTTTCTTTGCAGCCCTTGCTCTGCCATTGTTCTGTTCCCGCTCTCCTGGGGCTGTAGGGGAGGGGTCCCACAGCGAACCCCGGCTGTGGCAGAGGGCAGAGACCACCCCTGGGGACCTCCCTGCCCCGGTGACATTGTCAGTGTCACAACGGGCTGGGAAGGAACAGGGCAGACCCTGCGTTCAGATTTCAGCCAAACTTTATTGGAGCTTCATCATCGGCAGCAGCAGAGCTGTGCCCCAGGTCCCCTCCCCGCGGTGGCAGCGGTGCCACCAGGGATGGAGAGCAGGTGGCAGTGGGGCACAGAGGAGTCCAGGGAAGGATCCCACCCAGCAGTGGGTGATGCAGGCAGCTGCCCTTGTCTGGAGTCCCAGCCGCTCTCCCTGGAGCTGCCGCCTTGTCGGAGGCGCTGGAGCCCCGGCCCGGCCGCCGGCCCCGCTCCCTTCCTGCTTTACCTGTTCCTAATTGCGGGAGAGGCTGGCAGGAATTGCAGGCTCTGCTCTGCCAACAGCCGCCGGGGGGAAAAGATCCCAGCAGCTTCTCCCACCAGCCTTGGGCCGCGTCCAGGACACACGGAACGTGTTGAGGCTGTGGCAGGACCTGGCAGGACCTGGCAGTGCCACTCGGGGAGCCCGGACCCCGCTGTTAGGACACGCTGCAGTGCTTGGCTGTCCTGCCCCTGCCCCTCCCTGGGGGCTCCCTGCCCAGGGAATTCATCCCAGGCTTGGGGATGGGCTTCCCAAAAAAGAAACCCTCCTCTTCTGAGTCCGAGTCCGAAGATGAGGAGCAGGTGGGACACCAGGAGTCCTCCTCCTCCTCCTCCGTGCCATCCTCTGCCCGGGGGCTGTGTCGGGGAGGGGAGGTGCCAGCTTGGAAGCGTGGGTTTCCATTGCCTGTGGCTGTTCGGGTGTCGGGGCCCCCCAAAGGCGGCTGGCCCAAGGCTCCAGGCTCGTTGGGCCGCTCTGGGCTGGGCTGGGGGGCCGAGGGGTGGCCAGCTGGGGGTCCCAGCATCCCTGGGTGCTCCTTGGCAGCATCGCTGCTCCGCTCCCGTGCGGCTGCTCCGAGATCCTCGGGGCTCCTGAACGCAGGGTGCACTGGGGCCTGATTTGAAAACGCCTCTGGAAGAGGGGAAATGGGTGTAAGGGAGGAAGGAGAAGCTGAACCTGCCCTCCCACAGCCCTCCCACAGCAAGGCTTGTCTCAGGACACAATGGGGTGGCACTGAGCCACCTCCAGCTCCCACCGTGGGAGGTGGGCTGGGGGTTTATCCCCACTTCCCACCGTGTGACATTCCCAATGAAGTCCCCAGGGTCTGGGGGTTTATCCCCACTTCCCACCGTGTGACATTCCCAATGAAGTCCCCAGGGTCTGGGGGTTTATCCCCACTTCCCACCGTGTGACATTCCCAATGAAGTCCCCAGGGTCTGGGCAGAGCCTGGATTTGCTCCCACTCCCGTCCCAGCCCATGGCAGTAGGACCCTACCAGCCCCTTCCCCCTGCTGCCTGCAGCCCCCCGCAGCCGAGCGGGACAGGGGTGTGGAGTCAGGGGATGGAGCGGAGGCGAAAGCTGAGTCGGAGGAGTCGGAGGCAGTGGAAGAGGGGTCCTGGCCGTGGCTGCAGGTGTCGGAGCAGAAGAGGTGGCCGCGGTGGCAGGTCAGGGGCTGTCCCCGCAGTGGCTTTCGGCACAGGCTGCAGCAGAAGCAGGTGGCCCGGGCGTGCCAGTGCAGCCCCTGGTGTGTGACCTCCTCGCTCTCAGCACCTGCGGGGCAACCACAGGTGAGGGCAGTGCCAAAATCCATCCTCGGAAGGCTCGGCGGCCAGGGGAGCTCCCGGGGGTCGCGGCCGTACCGATGGGGTCCCCGCAGGCCTGGCACGGCTCGGCAAAGAGGCTCTCGAAGCAGCCCCGGCAGCAGGGCCGGCCGCTCCTCATCACATAGCGCTGCCCACGCAGGGGCTCATCACACTCCAGACAGCAGAAATGCTCCAGGTGCCAGCGCCGGCCCTCGGCCTCGATGCACTCCTCCATGAAGATCAGCTGGAATGGGAAAACAGCCTCAGAACCCGCGGTGCTTCGCTGTGCTGAGGAGTGAGGAGGAGCCGCCAGCCCGTGGGGCTCTCTGCGAGGCTCAGGAAGGAATATTCCTCCGGCCCATCGGTGGCTCTGATGGATTTGGAGCCCCCAGCTGAGCTCGGGGGTGTTTAACAGCCTCAGGGAGCTCAAAGCCTGCCCCTGGCCAGCACCCACCTGGCCAGCACCCACCTGGTCAGCACCCACCTGGTCAGCACCCACCTGGTCAGCACCCACCTGGCCAGCACCCACCTGGCCAGCACCCACCTGGCCAGCACCCACCTGGTCACAGGAGGCACAGCGAGGTCGGAAGAGCTCGGCGTGGTGCCGGCCGCAGTAGATCCTCCCATCCTGCTGGAAGTAGATGAGATCCACCAGCTGCTGGTGGCAGAAGTGGCAGGAGAAGCAGGACGGGTGCCAGAACTGGTCCCCCAGGCGAGCCGCTGAAATCCCCGGGTCCCCTTTGTTCAGCCTCCGGCCGCACTGCAAGGCAGAGGGATGGCGGGTTTGGGGCCGGGCTGGCTTTTGGGGCCGGGAATGGGCACTGGAGGGGACAGCTCACCTTCCTGCAGGGACAGCCGTGGCAGGGAGCTGGCACGGGACACGCCAGGCCCTGGCCCAGAGCCTCCTGCCTGCGGCGGGCGCTGAAGGCTCGGAGCTGCCGCCGCTCCTCCTCGGCGAGGTCGGGGCAGTACCGCTCCTGTGGGGCACCGCGGGCAGGGGATTTTAGCTGTTCTATTTTAGAAAATGTGTAAGTCCTGCAGTTGTTCAGTGGATAACTCTAAATTCCACACACAGGGTCAGCTTTTTGCATTTTGCTCAGACACAATTCCTCTCCAGGCCTGGAGTCGCTGCCTCAGGCCTCCAGAGATGGAAACAAAAGTGGGGAGCAAATCTGGGGTGAATGACTTCATTACCTGAAGCTGGAATCAAAAAATCAACCCCCAATATGCCAATAGACCAAACTTTAAAAAGTGTGGAAACCTGTGAGCTGTGGTCCATTTTTGTGTGCAGCCCCTGGGAGAGGCTTTGTCTGCCCAAAATGTACCTGGAGGCCCTTCAATAAATAGAACTGCTTTTCATTCCCTTCATTTTGTCTGGCCTCTGTTTTTAAGTAGTCCCAGAAAGCATCAGGTGAGCCTGGGGAGGGGAGCAGCACCCAAAAAAGGGGGTCTTACATCGCAGTCCTGAGGAGGCAGCTGCTGCAGGAGGGCTCTGCTGCGGGTCCTGTCAGAGGGAGAGCCAGGCTGGGGCCCGAAACACGGCAGCACCTTGGGAAAAACACAATTTCAGAGGGAGATTAAACTGTGTTTAGCTCAAAGCTGCTAAAATGTGTGTTTAACCCCGAGAAACGGGGTGCTCTGGTGTGGCTGGGGGAGAGCCGGGTGCTGCCCACCTCGGGGGGCGCGGGCTCCGCGGAAGGTTCCAGATACTCTTCCAGGGCACAGCCGGAGTCGCTGTCGGACGAGGCCGGGGGGAGACCGGTGGTGGTGCCGCAGGGGGAGGGCTCGTCCTGCTGGGGCCATGCAGGGCTCGGCAGGGACATGAGCTGGGGACAGAGAGCCAGAGGTGGTCAGACACGAGGCAGGGAGCAGGGGTCCGTCCCTGGATACTTGTCCTGTGCCCACGTGGCAGCAGGACAAGCAGCTCCTCATCCCTTGGAGCGACCTTGGGGCACGTCCAGATGGGATGATGGGATGATGCTCCAAACCACCACGACCTCCAGAGCTTCAGCTGAACCACTGCAGGAATACAAGGGATTTTGGGGGGGGCTCCTTTCTCTTTGGGGGTTACAGCAAACCCACGATGAGGAGAT